CTTCACCAAATCATAGGTGTGATTCTCATGCAAAGACTTCATTTCCTCTTTCATTGCCTTGAACCATTCAGTTTTGTTCTCATGCTTCAAGACTTCTTGATAAGTCCCTGGCTCCCCCTGATCTGATATCATCACATACTCATTTGAAGAATATTTTCTGGATGGTTGTTTTTCTCTAGTAGATCTCCTTAACGATGTCTGTGGTAGTGGCTCTTGGGGTGGTTGCTCCCCCTCAATCTCTGGCTCAACATCATCTTCTGCTGCATCATCATGAGGTGTTTGCACTTCCTCATCAATATCATGAACAGCAGAGGGATTGAGAGGATCTAAATCAACAAGATCATCAGTACTAGACTCAGCTGACTCAAGCTTGTCGATGTCTTCAATAGTCTGATCTTCCAAGAAAACAACATCTCGGCTTCTGACAACTTTCTTGTCAACTGTATCATACAACCTGTATCCAAATTCTTCATGCCCATAGCCAAGAAATATGCATTGCTTTGCTTTTGGATCAAGCTTGGACCTTTCATCTTTTGGAATATGAACAAAAGCTCTGCAGCCGAATACCCTCAAGTGATCATAGGAGACTTCCTTCCCTGTCCAAACTTTCTCTGGCACATCACCATTCAACGGAACTGAAGGAGACAAATTGATAAGATCAACTGCGGTCCTCATTGCCTCACCCCAAAAGGATCTTGGCAATTTAGAATGTGAGAGCAAACATCTGACTCTCTCAAGAATGGTGCGATTCATTCTCTCTGCAACCCCGTTCTGTTGAGGTGTCTTTTTAACTGTCTTTTCATGCCTGATACCATGATTTGTGCAATACTGATCAAATGGTCCAATATATTCACCACCATTATCCGAGCGAACACATTTCAACTGTCTACCTGTTTCTCTTTCAACCTTGGCCTGAAAAATCTTAAACACATCTAGAACTTGATCTTTAGTTTTCAGTGTATAAGCCCAAACTTTTCTAGAGTGATCATCAATAAAAGTGACAAAGTATAGAGCACCACCAAGTGTCCTAACTTTCAAAGGACCACATACATCAGAATGTACCAAATCTAAAACATGAGATTTTCTAGATGCAATGTTTCTACGGAATGATATTCTGTTTTGTTTACCATGGAAACAATGAACACAAGTTTTCAAAGGCGTACCTTTTATTCCCACTAGAAGCTCTTTCTTGGACAAAACTTGCAATCCTTTTTCACTCATGTGTCCAAGCCTTANTTCTACGGAATGATATTCTGTTTTGTTTACCATGGAAACAATGAACACAAGTTTTCAAAGGCGTACCTTTTATCCCCACTAGAAGCTCTTTCTTGGACAAAACTTGCAATCCTTTTTCACTCATATGTCCAAGCCTTCTATGCCATAAATCAGTGGATGAGTCATTCTCTAAGGTATTCACAACACCCTTGCAGATTTTTGCTTGCATAGTGTAAAGAGAACAAGTCTTCTTTCCTTTTGCTACCACTAGAGAACCTTTGGAGAGCTTCCATTTTCCATTACTGAAATTGTTGATGTAGCCTTCATCATCTAACTTTCCAGCGGAGATTAAATTGAGTCGAATATCTGGTACATGCCTCACATCTCTGAGCAGCAATTTGCATCCAATATTTGTTTCCAAGCAAATGTCACCCATGCCG